AGACCGGAGCAATCCTCATCCTCTATCGCAAATGCACAATTCATCGCAGCAGACGATCGGAAGTAACAGGAGCCTACCGAGCACGGCCAAGATACCAGCCTCTACGTCACAAAACGACACGAGTAAGACGAACAAAGTTGCACCGGCGCCTCCACCGCCTCGGCGTGTGGGGACCGCCTCCAGCTCCCGTAGTCTGAGCCCTCGGAGCCTCGACAGCCGGCGGAGACTATCGGCTAACGGAGATGTCGACTTCGAAGCGCTGCCACCGCCCTCCGCAGGTTCCCGGCCACAGCAGGTTCAGCCGCCGCCATTTGTCAGGGCGCAGACGGCGAGTCTTAGGTCCGGATCTACATCCCCGACGTACGGCAGTCCAAACCTGGGGCCGACGGCGGCAGCACCGAATAGGAAGCACGAGCTGTGGATGCGTCGGCTACAGCGGGCTCAGGAGGTTTTGGAGTCGCACGGTGTGGCGCTGTATACCTGGCGAAGGGGCGACGACGTGGTGGCCGAGGCTGTGGGAATGGTGAAGGAGGAGCTGAAGAGAGTTGGCCTCAATGGTGAAAAGGATGCGAAGACGGAAGGGAAGAGGTTTGAGAGGCAGATCAAGAGGGAGCAGTCGCAGCAACAGCAGCATCAGCAACAACGGCCTCAACAGCAGGGCGGGTATCAGCAAGGGTCATATCAGCAAAGGAGGTGATCTTTAGAGATTCCGCGGACGGCATCGGAATAACTGGAGGAGGAGGCGTGATTGGGGGAAAGTAGCAAGCCGAAAGGATGGGGAATGGGGAAACGGAATAATAAAGGCGCTGGGAGGGTGGTTGATTCAAGTAAATAATTTTTACAATCAAAGTCTGAAATCCTTTCGAACCACGCGATGTCATGTTCCGAGGCGTTCGGCATGGTGATCAGCAAATTCATGCCCGTAGTCCTTCCAAGCATGATGATGGGTAAGGAGGCATCATGTAAGGGAGGCACGGACTGACGAGAAGAATGCTAATGGGAGGTGTCAAGAAGAACGCATGGCATGTGTAGCACCGCCACATGGTCCTTCTCCAACGAGGTTAACAAGACCCGAACGTAAATAATTCGGATACCTATCCCGAGCTATGGGAAGAATCATACAAAGAGGATGACGAGAGGTAGGATGTGAACCCCACTAGAGGTAGTTTGAAGAATATTATGGTTGTGCTTCAGAGTCGCTGCACGTCCCCCTTCTTCTTTTTGAGGTAGATGACGGGACATGCTATTGATTACATCCCACGAGTCCCGAAGACCGAGGCTGCCTTACTCAGCTGAGTTGACAGCAGGAATCCAGGCATGGTTGGCGAATGGGTTGTCTTTAGCTGCTCTTTTTGAGGGTGTATCCCTGATATGGACAGTTGGTGTCGGATACGATGGAGGTCCGTGTGGGATAGGAGTCTTGCATTAAGAAGATCAGATGTCGTTTAGATTGGGGACTACTGCCGGGACTTTGTGCCATGGTGTTGGGACTAATAGGGGGCTGAGACTGATTGGTGGGTTTGGTGTAAGCTTTCTTTGAGTTGATTGTCCACGACTTTCATCCCGTTCCTCTGGAACAGTACCTCGACGAACTAGATGGCGTCTCTTCAGGTTTGCTCTACACTAGACTGGGCCCTCACTTGTTGTGTCTGACTTGTCAGAAGAAAGCTTAATGCGCACGGGTTTCAGACGACTGGGGTCGTGTACCTTACGTGAAGCGCGCCAACGTTCTTGAAAGATTTTCTATTCTTGCGAGAGACGTGCTTTCTTGGGGGAATGAAGCGCATTGTGATCGTTGCGCGCGGGTTCGGGTCCACGGGACAGTCGGACGCCCAACCCAATGATGGTCTATTGATTGAGTTTTGGTGAGTGAACTGGAAGGATAGGGTTCGTTGGCGATTGACAGCGGGCAGTTGAAAGACAAGAAACAAGTAGAACTCTTTGGATATAAAGATGATAGAGTTCGCTGGTCCTTTGGGTTCTTGAATTTGGTTCATCAGCAACAGCTTTCAAGAGCTTTCCCAATAGGATCACAAAGAACTCTTTTTCGTTTCGTTTACATCTTGTTGCTTTAACGACTGGGTCGTCTCATATGACAGCTGGTTCTATCAACATACCAAGAATCTCCCATATAGTAGAGCCAAGACTCTTCATCAAGTTCATCCCAACCGTTTTATTGTCATAGCCAAGACGCTATCGTCCACTTCCCCCCTTATTACGACCATCTCATCTTGAAGGTAGCCCACTTCACGAGCTAGCTCATACAATGTACATCCGAAACAACCTCCTTGTCTTGGCCCTCTGCCTCTCCACCCTTGGCCTGGCCTCGCCCACCACCAGCTCAAAGAGCGGTTCCAAGACATCGCACAAGGGGAGCAGTGGTTCCTCCAAGGGCTCGAAAGCGCACTCTAGCGTCCCGGCTCATGCGCCAAAGGGCACTTCGGCGCCGAGTTCCGGATCCGGATCGGCTGCCGGTGGCGGTGCTGGTGGTTCCGCCGCAGGCAACGGGACGACCTCCGGTGGCGCCAACACGGAGCTGCAGACGACGTTCCCGACGGCTAAGGGGTCGCAGAACATTGCTGCCGTCAAGACCATTGCTGCGGGCCAGTCGTTTGACGGCGGTATGGTGATGTGGGATCGGAGTCCGAGTACCTGCAAGGGTCAGACTGAGGGCGGGAACAAGGACGCGGTGTTCATCCTCGAGGAAGGGGCGACGATTAGCAATGTGATTATTGGGCCTAACAATGGTGAGGGGATTCATTGTTTGGGGAGTTGTACTATCAACAACGTGTAAGCCAAGACCTCCCCCCCTCACTAGATCCTCTTTTCGACTCCAGCCACTGACATCCCCGACTCAAAAGCTGGTTCCAAAAAGTCTGCGAAGACGCCATCACGTTCCGCCAAACCTCGGGCACGTCCTACGTCAACGGCGGCGGCGCCCAAGACGCGGCCGACAAGGTCCTCCAGCACGACGGCGGCGGGACCGTCGCCGTGAAGAACTACTTTTGCAAGAACTGCAGCAAAATGTACCGCAGCTGCGGCAACTGCAAGACGCAGGTGGCGCGGCACTCGACCTTTGACAATATCCGTCTCGACGGCGGGAAGGTCCTGAGCGGCGTCAACGGGAACTTGGGGGACGGGACGATTGTGAGGGACTCGTGCGTGCTGGGCGGCGCGCAGGTGTGCGAGAACTTTGAGGGGAATAGTAGCGGTGCGGAACCCAAGTTGGTTTCGAGCGGGCCGGATGGGAAGCTGTGTATTGCTACGAATGTTAAGACTAGTGGGTGTTGAGGGGGTTGTTTGGGGAGGGAATATGGAGAGTTCCGGTGAGATATAGTGGTTTTGCTTGGAGGAGTGGCAGGTTCCATTGTCTATACTTTGAAGCAGTACATATGAATTAGAAATGGCTTGGGGTAGGAGTCAACCTAGAGTTAAGCCAATCTCTGAGCTGAGGCCATAGATACATCCATATTGTCACGACAACTACTTCGGTCCGTTTTTAACACGGATGAAGGCGTTTAGCCTGCTTATTTACGTGGTTCTCAGTCACTCGGAATTAAATGTATTTGGGCTTCCTGAATCGCCCTTTCCCCTTCTTTCTCTTTGGCTTCAAGCAAGTCTTTCTGGCTGCTTCACATTGCTGCGTACTTCTTGAACTTGTGAAATATATTGCAGCCAGATTGATATCTCAACACCACAATATGAAATCATGAAACAAGTCTACGTGAATCTCAGATCCTGCCCTTTTCGTCATCATGGGTTCTAAGACTTGATGGGCGTGGTGTACCTGACCAGGATATCCCCTCCGTCGACATTCGAGAGTCCCGCCAAACTAATTGACAAGCCCCGCCCTCATTATCCCCACCACATCCACAACAAGGGCTTCAGAGTTCAGACTCTTTCTTCCCACAAAAAATCCATACTCCATAGTCACAATTCTGGCTGGTCGCTGTCACATCCACTGAGCGTATCGACTCGCTCTCATTGGTCTATTAGTCTAGTTGGTTAGGACGTCGGATTCTGATGATAGCTTCGCTTCGAAAGATTTCCGTAAGCCCAGGTTCGAATCCTGGATGGACCTTGGTTTGCTTTTGCCGTTGCGCCATGTGGTGCGCGACCTGCGAACGGGAACATGTCGCCATGAACTTTTGCTGGGATCGACTTGCAACATCTTGGTGCACGTTTTGCTTGAAACATCAGTTGCTCTTGATTGCGTGTCCCGACATTGACAAGTAGTGTAGCCAAGGGCCGAAGTAATCTTGGTAAGCGCTTGTGTTTGGGACAGAAAAGTTGTTTGCTATGGATCATGTTTATATACATATGACTTTTCATTAAGGCCTGTCACAGAGAGATAATGTGCACGCGGTGCTGAAACGGCGACGTCGAGTTTAACTTGATATATGGGGCATTTTGCTGGGATGCATCAACTTCGGAGGCTAAATTACTCTATCTTGGCACCGCGTAATCCCCTCTGTTTTGTTTGATAGAGACTTGAAAGCTGAAAGACTGAAAGAAGAACACGCCATCATGTTCATCACTGTCAAAGATTACAAACTGCGTGCCCTCGTGCTTCGCATAGGGTTAAGAACCGGGCATGCCGTCAAGGAATACGGGGAAAGCAGGGAAACATCAGGCAATGCTACCGCGGGAGAAGTCTTCTCGAAGCCCGCCATGGCCTGATTGCCCAATGTGGCCGAAAGGACCGGGCTTCCAGGAAGATCGGACCGGGGTCAAGGGGGGCTGTCGGCCGTCCGCCGTTTGCCGAGCGCGGCATTGTGGGGAGCATGGACGGGGTTCATCTCGTATCGTCAGGGGATCACCGTATTCAAAAGTGACACTCCAATAATAGAGATCATGTGGATATCTGTAGGTAATGAATAAGATGTGAGGAAGTCCCCTTGGTTCGCGGTCCAGAGGGGCTGTCCTGACAGCGCTTGCTCGAAAGACCGAAACACAGATTCGTTGTTCGCTTGCCTTTGGGCAGCTTCCTATCGTTAAACATGTACCCTCACTCGTTCTTGGGTCTTTTGACTTCGTGCCTTTCGTTCTGCTCTGTTGCCCATGCAATTCCAACCGAGCGACGCCAGGCTAACGACAACTCTGCCAACGTTCAGACCTACTTCAACCTGGATGGCGCAGCGCACGGCGAAAAGGTAAAGACTCTCATCGCCGATGGCTACCGCATGATATCCTTGAGCAACTATGGCACAGCGTCGGACGCAAAATATGCCGCCGTCTGGGTACGGCGGGATGGAAACCCTTTCGAAACAATCTACGGTGCAGACGAGGCCACTTATGACGACTGGTTCGACTCGTGGAAGTCCAAGGCCTATGTGCCGACGCATATCTCCGTCACGGGACCGGCTGGCAGCGCCATCTACACGGGCGTCATGGAGAAGGCCAACGTCACCAACTGGACACAACTTTGCGGTCTCAACAACCCCTATGAGTTTGACAACGCGACGAATGGTATTGACATGGTTGTGAAGGGCTTCAGCATGTACGGCACTCCCTCGGACCGCCGCTATTGCGTTCTGGGCCATGAGAACGTCGGAAATCAGATGTCTACTGTCTTTTACTCAGCCGGCAACTACACCGTCGACTACCCTAAGATCTATGAGTCAGAAACAGCGAAGCGCTTCTGGAGACCATCTCGCCTCTTTCTCTCAGACGACCACGTCGTCACCCCCCAATTCGTGGACACCTCTGTTGGGAAGTGGGTAGCTTTGAACGATCTCACGGCCGAAGAGCTGTCCTCTCAGATCGAATTGCAGAAGCAGCAGGGCCTTCACCCAATCGACCTTCACGGGGGTGCTTCCGGACAGGATGTTCGCTTTGCCGTCATCTTCGCTGAGAAAGACGTTCCCGAGGCCCGAAAGTGGACCGCCACCGGCTCCTTCAAGGGATTCAAGGATAACGCAGGTGCCACAACGGCCTTTGATACCGCAATGCAGACCTGGATGAAGAAGAACGGCGTCCGCCAGGCACAACTCGCCATCGCGTCCAACGGTTCGATCATCGCCGAGCGCGGATACACCTGGGCGGAGACTGACCGACCCATCGTTGAGACAGACGACATCTTCCTTCTCGCAAGCGTAAGCAAGATCTTTGTTCACGCGGCTATCTCCAACCTCATCGAGGCCGGGAAGCTCAACTACTCCACGCCCGCGTACCCCTTACTCGGATACGACAAGCTCGCGGACGCCCGCGCAAAGGACATCACCATCGATCACCTCCTCTCACACACGTCTGGGTACAATCGCGATCGGTCCGGTGATCCGAGTTTCTTGTTTCGCGAGATCGCTATCACCCTGTTCAACGGCACCCGTGCCGCGACGCTGCGGGACGTCATCGAATACCAGGTCTCTCGCCCGCTCGACTTCGCTCCCGGCGCGGACTATGCCTACTCCAATTACGGAACCATGCTCCTGAGTTACATCGTCAGCAACATCACGGCGACGCCCTACCTCGACTTCTTGAAAGAAAACATCTTCGGCGATCTAGACGTACGTCTGTATGAGACGGCAGCAGAGAAGCACGCCAAGGACCGCATCATCCAGGAGAGCAAATACACGGGCTACGATCCGCGAGAACCACAGTCGTACCGTCTCGTACCGGGCCCGTATGGCGGCGACGGAGCTATCAAGGAGGAGTGCGCGGGTGCGTTCTCGCTTGGGGCGAGTGCGGGCACCGTGGCGAGGTTCATCGGCTCACACGCCGTCAGTGGCACCGGCGGCCGGGCGCCGTTTGCTGAGCGGGACGGGACGGTGGTTGGGGCGCGGACCTTTGCGTCGAGTAGGCCTGATGTTGACTGGGCTCTGACGATTAATACCCGAGAGTACATCTCTGAGGCGGAGTTTGACGACTTGAGGTATTGGAAACTACCTTTTGTATTTGAGGACTTTGCCGTGGCGTAGACGGAGAGGAAGATAAATAGAAGTAATGTTAAATTGCAAACTTGTGAACATGAAGCCTAGTGTTAATCTCGGATATGCTACTATAGTGACACAGCTGTTGAGCGCTTTCCCCGGATCAAGATAATTTGCTCTCAATCACGGCATACTCTCTCAACGCTTTCAAAGCTTCCCCGTGCTCTTGCTCAATTACCTGAGCATGCTTCAGTGACCTAGGCGTAATTGAGCAAGGGAATGGTAGTGGACTCGAATTGAAGCCATCCGAGTATGCAAAGCTGCGTGTACATCCACCAAGTCAGCTCCGGATCTGTGTGCGCTCAGGGGTAGGATTGGCACTTACATGTCCACCTCGACATCCCTGCCCTTTTCATCCGTTTCAGGGTTGACTTCAAACCCCCAGAGGATCCTCGCAATGTTCAAGGCTACGGATGCAGATCCAAGATGCATGCCAGGGCAGATTCGGCGGCCCCATCCGAAGGCACTGTGGCCGAACGTACCAGGGTACTCGCGTTCAGTTAAGAATCGCTCAGGCCTGAAATCATGAGGTTCTGGGAAGTCCGCTTCATTGAGATGAACTAAAGCGTATTATGTCAGAGTACAAGATGATTTGATGAGCATCTCGGGCTTGACGTACTGCTCCATAAAGGTGCGATGATGGTGCTACCCTTTGGAATGAACATGCCCTTATAGACATGATCCGCGGTACTCGCATGGGGAGTGCCGCCGAGCACGGCGACAGGTCGCCAGCGTAGCGTCTCCGCAGCTATGGCACGAACATACTCGAGCTTATTCAGATCATCGAAGGTGGGCAGCCGGTCGCCTCCGACAACTCTGTCAAGCTCCTCTTGTGCTCTCGGTATGAACTGCGGGCCGAATTTGGCACAAGCCAGGAAAAAGCTGGCTAGAGACCCGGCCGACTTGAGGCATTTATTTATCAGTTACGTGGGGTCTTTGCATAAGCGCGGGCTACGGAGGGGGAATTCCTCTCACCGTCTCAACGCCAGCTCCGAATGGTGAGCCTGCCGTGTAGGCTATCTCGAGATCTGACATGCCCAGGTTGGATTGCTCTTCAAGCAAATGTTTTGCAAAGGACGCTGGCGCAACCCCTCTGGCGACTTTGTCGCGGACCTCGTCCATAAGCTCAGTGTACATCTGAATGTCTTTTTGCCTCTGCTTCAAGACCTCGGCCTTCCAAGGGGCCAAGAAGCTGGGGATGTATTTGAGAACAGGGTATCTTTCTACAGCAAACTTGCCAGGGATGCTGCATGCCGATAACATAGGTTAGAGTTGCGAAGCTCTTGGAGAAGCCGGGGAATGGAAGCTCACTTGACTGATGTTAGACGTCCCATCGACTCGGCATTGCGTTGGACAACGATATCGGTGACAATGTCCTCCACTCTCCTGCCGTACGTCACCGTCACAATAACAGAGGCCGCATATCGTTCAAGGTGCCTTCGAAAGTCTCCGGGACTCATGAGAAGCTCATGCATAAGCACCTTGGACTCCAGGCTCTGTACCGGCCGGTACGTTTCGCTCTGCCGCTGCATGAAGCCGCTGTGCAGGAGCTTTCGCCATCGCCGCCAGAAGGGGGAGTAAGAGGCCATAAGGCCCCTCATGCCGCCAGAGAGGAGCTCACCGCCCATGATGAAGCGCGGGCGCGACGAGAAGATGGAGCCCTTCTTTTCGAGAAGGTCCCACGCCGCTTGGGCTGAGCCCAGCACGATGGTTGGCGTCGGACCCATCTGGAGGTAGACGACGTCGCCATACTTCCTACTCAATTCCTGGAACCAAAGCCATGGCTTTCGGATGCCTGTTTTGATAACCTTGGGACCCGGGGGAAGCTGTGATCGATGTGAGTAGAGCTTCCACTCTTGCCGCAGCTATTCGAGGTTGATGAAGTCAGGATAGTGTCCAGTCAAGCGTGTCAGGATTAACATTTCTTACCCGGGGAAATGTGAGGGCAAGATAAGAAACCCCAGCGATCAACGCCAAGTAGGCGAGAATGTCGAAGAGCATGATGGAGTGATTGACGGTTGGTAGACCCCGATCACAAGTCTGCAACTTCAACCCACGCATACATAGATTTTGAGTCGCCAATCTTTCTTCGGTTATCTCAAAAGACTTAGCCGGGGATATCTATGAGTTTGAGGGGGGATTTCATACTAGATAGTAAATAAACCTGAGGTTGTTCAATCTTTCGATGGTCAGTCGAGCGGTTAGCGCCTCAATTTCGACTCATCCAACAATTGCCGATCTTGGCGAACACGATTCAGCAAGCCACAACTGGGTCTCTTCAATCCTTCCCGCTCGATAGTCATAGGAAAATCAAGTCACGATACGAAAACTTCCCCTTGATAACCCCGCAGTCTGGGTTTAGAGCTGCACGTGGGTTACGCGGGGGAAGCAAGATGCGTGTGGGGGAACCACCCCCGAAACGAAGCGGCCCATGCATGCTTCTTGCTGACTCCAAACTTACAAACGCCTTGGTTGGATGGCGGATAATCATACCCTGGTCTATGGTAGCATCACCGCGGCAGTTGTTCGAGTGAGATGAGTGCATGGAAGATGAAGAGGTACAAAGTCTAGGAAGTCCCTGGAAGTCCGGATCCAAACGATCGATGTGCCTTGCTCGTGCAGTACTTGAGGATACTTTAGGTTTCGAGAATTTTACCAAGATATAGACTTGAGCATCACTTACATCTCTACTATGGAACCTGAACGTTCCGGTTGGCTGAGCAAGCCATTCTTGACGTCGATCCTTCTTGGCATAGGAGGATTTCTCTATGGATAGTGAGTTTCTCTGCATAACGAGAACATCCTTTTAACTAGAGTCTCACACGACATCCTAGTGATTCAGGAATCATTACACCTAGCTTAGCACTCAAGTCATTCCTCGCGTATTTCGGAAATCCGGATGCTCCCCTTCGAGGTGCAATCGTGTCAGTGTATCAAGCTGGAGGTATGATCTGCTCCGGGAAAAGCAACACCTACTAGTCTAACTTACTTTACCAGCATGGCTCGGGAGTGCATCCGTTGGTGTTACCAGCGACAAATTAGGCCGCCGTAAAGCGATCGCCTTTGGCTGCATATGGGGAGTCATTGGCGGTGCTCTGATGGCGGGTGCTGCCCATGTCGCAATGCGTAGGTGGAGTTGAGATCCGAGAAATGTAAGGTTAAGTACTAAATATGAGAACCAGTCATCATGGGCCGACTGCTAGTCGGTTTTGCAGTTGGTACAATCACTGGCGTAGCTCCAGTCTTTGGAGCAGAAATTGCAAAGGTCGGATGCTTCACTTTCCGATCGACTTACGAAAATTGCTTGAAGCTAACATTTTCCAGACTCACGAAAGAGCCAGGATCACAGCTGTCAACCAGATGAGTAAGTTGAAACGATTATCACAGTTTACACACACTAACGAGGTAAAGTGGTTGCCTGGGGCTTCTTCGTCGCTCTCTGGACTGGCGTAGGGGAAGGCAAATGGCAGAATCCTAACCAATGGAGGCTTGGTTTCGCCATTCAGAGCATCCCTGCCCTGATCCTAGGCATTAGCGTTCTCTTCCTTGGTGAGTCGCCTAGATGGCTCTGCCTAAAGGGTCGGCACGAGGAAGCTGAAAAAGCTTTCCGCAACTACCACTATGACGGGACCAACGACGACTGGTGCCGCAATGAGTTTACCATCATCCAGGTCAACATCGCAGAAGAGTTACAAGCTCAGGGCCGGCTATCCTGGGGCGACCTATTTAAGACGCCAGCGTTCCGCAAACGCCTCTTTGTCGGCTCTTTCGTTTGGGCTGCTGCAATGCTTTCTGGTATTTCGTTTGTGCAGTACTACCAAACGGCCATCTATGCTACGCTGCAGTTTAGCCAGGATCAACAGCTTCTCGTCAGTGGTCTCTATGGTTCTGTTGCACCCGTGGCATGCTTAATCTCGCTGTTCTTTGTCGATCGCATCGGTCGAAAGAAGATTCTTATCATTAGCTCGTCTCTGTTGTCGCTTTGTTACTTGATCATCACCATTTTAGCAGCAGTTTACCCTGCAAGACCCGGATTTCCAACCAACGAGGCGGCGCAGCGCGGTCTCATTGCGTGTATTTTCGCTGTTTCGGCCAACTATTCTGCACTCTTGGGACCCATGACATGGATTATTCCGTGAGTATCATTCCGAGTTTCAGTATATGAACTGCAGTGTTGACACGAATATAGACCTGAAGTCTTCACCACGGAGCTCCGAGCCAAAGCGAACGCCATAGTCCAGGTCATTCACTATTCCATTAGTCTTATCATTACGCAGTGTTCGCCAATTGCTCTGGCCGCGGTTGGCTGGAAGTACTTTGTACGTTGATTATGTTCAAATCATATTTTGACGAGTCTGTTCTGATTTGAAGGCTCAGATACTTTTCATCCTCACCAACGCTCTCTGCGCTATCGTCTTTGCATTTTTCTATCCCGAGACCAGAGGTATAAACATTGTAACCCACCGTACACGGGCAGGAGCTCACACTTCACTTATAGGAAAATCCTTGGAAGAAATTGATGAGATCTTTGGCGATGTCAAAATCGTGCGCGATGTCGACTTCGCCGAGAAAGCTGGAGTTCAAGAAGTAGAAGTCCGTCAGCGACACTGAAGAAGTTGTGGGGCTTGAATCTAACAGTGGAAATCAGAGATGTGCATCTACTAAGATTAGTTGCATCATACACATTGACAAAAGAGACATCCAACCTCAACTTACAAGCAACGGATCTCGTTTCCAAATTCACAAAACCATGTGATGTTCTATCGAAGTTAAGAACTGGAAAATACTATTGTCAAGAAGATTTGGAGAAGTAGTCGTAGTTCCTGTAAGAGATTTTGCTGCAGACACTTCCGTTGATGCTGCCACCATGCAGATATTTTACCTTCCAAGTGGGAGCTTGAGATTAAATCTCAAACAAAATATAGGATACGTCCAAGACTACTCATCATTACTCTCAATCCACATTGCTACAATTGAGGATGGAAAAGTATCACAATGTTCGGGATTCTTGGTTGATTGTATAAATATCAAATCGCTGAAACACCCCCTGGCAAGCGTGGACTAAGATTTCTTGCGTGCTCAAACCTCAAACACAAACTTTTTGTTCAATCCAAGCAGCCAATTTGACACATATTATGTATGTCGTGATGGATCAATCGTCCTCTTCATTGCTTCCAATCTCCAGCCGGTCATGATGCTTTTCTAATCAGCTCAGACTCAAATCGTCGTTCTTCACCTCCCTCACGACAACGGAAGGTGGTGCTTGAACCGTGCTCACGGCCGCTTCCATGTCAATGGCTCGCTCTCTCGTCTCCATCTGCACCACCAGCAGCTGACCAGCCGTGCCATGTCGCAACGTCCTCCCCCGTCGGTGTCTCCCTCCTTCTAAACAGGCCAATACGTATGTCCATATCAGGATGGACCCGGCGCTCATGAACGACCAGGCGAGAGCGACGTACTTGGTATCCTGCGACCAATCTTTGTGCGACGCGTGCCGCACGGTGAAGAAGCTGAGAGCCTGCAAGCCGATCCAGGTAAGCCAGTAGAAGTATATCAGACCACCAATGCGACCAGGCGGGGGAAGAATGCATTTGTGGATGCTAAAGACCGCTGCGTAACAAGTTTGCGTGAGAATCAGGACGATCAAAAGCTCCGCCATCCAGGCGATGGGTTGTTTGGACTCCGAGGATGCTCTCATCAAGGTCATGGTGACCAGAATTGTGGTGAGGAAGCATGCGCCGAGGAGGACTATAACTGAACATCTGGCTTCGTCCAAGAGGCTTGTCCGTGGCGACCATGGTTGTCCTCTTCGTCGACGGAGCCACATCTTTACTCGGGCGAGCGGAACATTGTAGAGAGGCATGGCTGGCTTCTTTGAGGAAAGGGATGAATATGAGGAGAACCTGGTGCTTTCTTCTCGGGTCTAAGATCTTGAAAGGGTGATGTTGTTGAGAGAAAACTGAGTATCTTGAGGCAGCAAAATTAAAAGAACAGTCCGCTTATCAGCCGCCGCTGTGGTCTCGCAAATGGTAGGAAATCGACTTATTCAAGAATCTGCGCTACTTGGCTTGAGGAATGTCATGATGTGTTTTCAAGCGAAGAGGCGTCAGGAGAGTTCATGTACACGCATACAAGCATTTGGGGGCGTTCAAGTCACTATGGGCGAAATCCACCTTGACAGAAGCTACTGACTTCTATTGGTGCTCAATATTGTGTCTAGCGATTCAAGACTGCACCTCAGGATCATCTCAATGAGTGCTGAAGGATGAGATTTGGATGGACAAGACGAGGAAAGTATGGAATTAGATATTGAGTGAATGACGACAACAGAGATTTGTTCTGATCCCCTCTACTTGTTCAGGCCGTTCCGGGGACGTTGAAGGTTTCTTGTGGGCAAGGGCGTTCGAAGTGGCATTCAAGGTCACGAGATAAGCTGGTTTCGCCCGGTCTCCGAACAGGCCGAGGGGGGTCGGGCCACGCTGATTGATGACTTTGACGTGACTGAGAGTCTTCGGTTGCAACTGCCTGGTGATTCCAGCTGTAGTTGTAGTCGGCTCGGATTGTCTCCGACGTGGAGCATTGATAGTCGAATGCACATGAAGTGGTTGTCCCGGCGATCAGATCAGACGGCCGTGAGGGCCTCTTGTCGAGGAGAATATCGCTCACTTACGAGACACCCCGCGCGGGCAATTGAACTCTCCCCGGGATTGTATGGGTCGACTGGACGCTCCCCTCTAAATCTCCAACATGTTTCCCCCTCGAACGTGCAGAGTCGGTACCCGCAGCTGTGCGAAGGCCACCATGTGTCTGGTGTGATGTGGAACTGTGGTGAGAGCCTCGAACGGTGAACCAAGCAGCGGACCGGTGGTTGGAGGGTCAAACTTCAGAGTCTCCGTAGCCCACCCGCAGCGACCCGAACCCCACGCTCCATACTCCGTGTCTTCCCCCTCACCGACATGCCTCCGCGCCCGGCTGCCCAGCTCCGCACCAACAGGAGTTCCCAGACTCGATGGAGTGTACACGAAGAGTACTTGGACACGACGCGTCCACGAGGGCGCGGGGCAGGTTGGGGCCCCCTCTTCCTCGCTGCTATCTGCGGTAAAATGCACCTCTCATGGGAAGCTGGAACTTGAAGACAGCATCGACGATGCGAGGCCTTGACTAATGGCGCGCGCTGCAGGGCCGGGGTGGGTTGGATGTGGGCTTCTGTGGATCTCACAGCTGGACTCTTGGCCGCAACCATGTAGTTTGAGACCGATTGGGCGGCGTGGTTTTTTTCCATTGAGGCCTAGAACTTGGTTGCCAGGTTTTTTCCCTTTTGGTGATAAGCTAAGAACAAACTCACCGAGCCGCTGTACTTAGTTACGTAGTTCTCTACAATTCTTCGGACTGAAGATATCAAATACTGCAGTTCGACAAATCCTACCCGACTCTCGGTCAGTGCGGTTGGATGAGTAGTCGGCAGGAAAAGGTTGCGCCAAGCGAGCACCAAGATCAGATTGATGAGCTGTCCGAGCTGCATGGCGCATATTGCTGCAGTCCTCGCATGTGGGATTACTCAGATACAGATTCGTACATAACAAGTACAGAGTATTGTTCTAAAGATTGAGACTATTCTCTGTTAGGTATGCGTAGGAGTACGGCATTACTGTCTCAATGTCTACCTGCGGCCCATCCGGGTCCCATTAATTTAGATCCACCAGACTGGCGGGCACTTGAAGGGAGAGAGCATGGGTTCACCCATGTATCTAGACATTCCTGACAACCTCATTGTTGAGCATTGGTCCGTGTTTAGCCCCGGCGTCTAGTCCGTGTGCCTGTATCAATGACATCAGCGGGGTTCCCGGGATGCCGTCACGGCCGGCCAATTCCCAAAGCTACCCCTCCATCATGCCACCTTATTGACCCCTCGGTCTTTTTTGGGCTCGAAGCACGCCGTTCTCTCAGCTATTCAAAGCTGCCTTTCTCCCGCTGATCTCTTCGAGCTTTTCCCTCTCTTCCTTCTTCATCCCAAAAAGTTTGATACCCAAAAAAGCCTTCTCTTCAATCTTTGCAGACGCCTCTTTTACCTTTACAACCCAGCCACATTCACCACCACCAATCCTTCAACATGCCCCAGTCAATTCCCACCGCTTCCCGTCTTTTGGACCTTTTCAGCCTCAAGGGCAAGGTCGTCGTTGTCACGGGTGCCTCCGGCCCCCGCGGCATGGGCATTGAGGCTGCCCGCGGCTGCGCCGAGATGGGTGCCGACCTTGCCATCACCTACTCCTCCCGCAAGGAGGGTGCTGAGAAGAACGCCGCCGAGCTCGAGAAGGAGTACGGCGTCAAGGTCAAGATCTACAAGCTCAACGTCAGCGACTACGACGAGGTTGAGAAGACCACTAAGCAGATCATCGCCGACTTTGGCAAGATTGATGCCTTCATCGCCAAGTGAGTTTCCGAGCCTCTCTCAACCCCGCGCGACTCTCCAGTGTAAGGCAATTTACTGACCGCTTTACTCTCTGCAGTGCTGGTGCCACCGCCGACGCCGGCATCATTGACGGCACCAAGGAGGCTTGGGACCACGTCATCCAGATCGACCTGAACGGCACCGCGTACTGCGCCAAGGCCGTCGGCGCCCACTTCCGCGAGCGCGGCTCCGGTTCCTTCGTCATCACCGCCTCCATGTCCGGCCACATCGCCAACTACCCCCAGGAGCAGACCTCGTACAACGTCGCAAAGGCCGGCTGCATTCACATGGCCCGCTCTCTCGCCAACGAGTGGCGCGACTTTGCCCGTGTCAACTCCATCTCCCCCGGTTACATTGACACCGGTCTGTCCGACTTCGTCGAGCAGAAGGTCCAGGACCTGTGGAAGAGCATGATCCCCATGGGCCGCAACGGTGATGCTAAGGAGCTCAAGGGTGCCTACGTCTACCTTGTCTCCGATGCTAGCACCTACACCACCGGTGCCGACATCGTCATTGACGGCGGTTACTGCTGCCGGTAAATGCCTCGTTTTGTGTGAACCGGGCGGAACAACAGCACATGGATATGGGAGACTGAAAGGTTTCTTGTCGTGGATATGATGTTATGAATTAATTTAAAATAATAGACAAAAAAGTAAAAAACACTGTATTCTCAAATGATTGATGTGATGTATCAAGCTCGTCCTATGATTTGATGCCTCAGTAAGATAACACAATACCTAAGTAACAATCATCATTCATGTTGGGTACATGAGATTTAATACAGTACCTTGCGCGGATCACGCAAGATCCATCACCATTAGTCGCGATAATTTATTTAATCCTGCAAGATGCTCCTCTCAAAATTTGCGGCCTCGCCATGTCCGACCTCCGCGAACATGAGTGATGATGTATGCGTGATGCCATGGCCTGGTTCCTGGATCCATTTTCTTAGCGCAATAAGCTAGCTATCGTGGATTACCTGTTAACGCTCCACCTGTCGCGTCTTCTCAAACAGTAATCCTGAGCTTGGTCCACTGCACCTCCACCACAAACCTTCATTCTTTTAATCAAGCATGATCCGTAACTAAGCCCGGTATGTGAGCTTCACTCAAATTCGCATGGGAATGCGTCAAGAAAACACAATCTCACGTGAAGTTACAGCTACTTGATCTGTCCTCGATTGAGATCCATGTATTGATATAGATAGAGTTCAGTGATACAACAAATAATAGTGATATTATGATGTGTGGGTGACGGTCGTGATGTCGAGACTGCATATCAACGGGGTTTTAAATTCGCCCCCCTCCAACACGTGCTACCATCGTAAGAACATCTCAAGTGCCAGGTTCTCGGGATCCTCAAAAAGTCATTCTTAGAGGTTCCTGGCGATGAAGTGCGGGAGTAACTCCTTCGTCCAAGCTGGTAAATGTCTCCTCAAGGCGATTTGGCATGTCTTTGGGCCTAGCCAGGCCACTAAACTTGTCATGAGGAGAATTTGGAGTCCAATATTATCGGCTTCGTGAAGGTAGTAGATGACTTTGAGGTCCCAAGGAAGCCGGTTCCATTCACCAACTACGGAGAAGGAATGCCTTCGTATACAAAAGTGAAGGGTGGTGTAGGCGACACAACCAAGGCCGGTCGCGGTCTTAAGCGGGTTGAACACAGAGGCCAGCGCAACCGTTGTCGCAACAATAAAGAGTATTTCCGACCAGTGGGTGGTGAAGAACTGTCGTGAAACTTTATCCCAGAAATCGAACACACAGTAGAGGCAGAATATCGTTAAGGTAGTGACAAGTGCGGGCGGTGAAAATCTCTCGTGATCATCGTCCAGTCTTCCCTCGTCGCCAACTGATGGGGTCGATGATTCTCCTTGACTTTTGAAATTTTCTTCTAAGGAAGATGTTTCGGAAGTAGTTGGGGTCGGCGCTTGAGACGAATCTTGAGAGTCCTGAAAATGCTTAATACATGCGTCGGTGTGGAGCTCCGTGTTTCTATCCAGTCCATATTCAGAATCAGCCTTCGAGTCTGATGATCCTTGATGACTGCTGGAAGGCGCTTTAGAAGCGAACTCCTCGGAATCATTGTTGAGCTTCATTTGTCGTGCAGCTATTGATTTTGGTAGGTCTTTAGAAATATCGGAGAGGCTTTTGAGGCTTGGGGCGACTTTTGGGGTTAAGGTAGGGTATCAGGGACGGCTTAGTAGGGGAATCTTGCTTATTCTTTGATTAGAGAGACGTCATAGTGGCTTCTGTAAAAAACCATGCGATTTTTTCGGGCTCATCGGGTGTATGTCTGCCTACCTTATATACGTTCGCTGATCCCACAAGGTGCTATGTCAACCACGGTGTCGCCGACAAGCCCAGAGCCGTAAGCTTTGCGCCCTGTGGATTGCTGTGAAGCTGATAATACTTGCCAAACCTTGGTTACTCCCCCCTTGCTTCAAATTTTGGAACGATGAGAAAAGCATCTCACTTCAAGTGCTGGGTGGGCACTATACTGTTTTATTAAAACTGTATTCTGGTATTTGTGACTCACAAGAATTAAGTTTCTGCGATAACAAGGTACTTAGATGAGACTCTTGACGAGGACCTTGTCCGTCCAAACATATACCTGCATCTTTCAAGGCCGAAAGCGTCTCTTCTAGACCTCATGGATCTTGGGTGTCCTTCCCATTTCGAACCTGCAGGCTAGTGTAGCCAAGCTTCGACCTTTGGAAGGTTGTTCTTCAGATTGGGACTTGACGATGATTCAAGCTTCTGATTATCCTTCCCCGTGATAATGGTAAGTCTTAAACAAGCGTTGATGTGGAAACATGGCGCAAATCGAGTTCCAAATGGAGAGGTGTCGTTGAGACAGTATTGTATGTGTTTCAAGCCGCCAGGCGCAACCGTATCAACAGCGTGATATCAATGTTTCTTTCGAATTTCTTTCAACCTAAGATAAGGTAAGCCCAGTAGGTTTGGGCAAGTTATAGACAACTCCCTATGATTCTCTCTGAGAAACCACCATGAGGAATCCCGAGTCTTCACAACATTTCATTTTCAACGCTCAGGAGGATCCACCGGATACTGGGACCAGATCAATCTCAACAGATACGCCTCCGCCAAGTTCGCCGCCGATAGATCGCTTTGTCGTACCCGCGGCGGTATACAAAGCGAAGCGGATAGCTTGTCTAGACGCCTGCTCGCCAGAGATGGTTTCAACGTTGAGATATCTAGGATCGTCAAACTGACGAACGGGAACATCAAGCGTCCACCGCCCGATACCATCGCCGCCCTCCGCCGCTCGGTCGTTGATGCCAGCGTACGCCTTCTTGAAATCGTCGCTGCTCACTTCAAGCGAAACCGAATGAACTCCGAGCGATCCATTCGGGTGCTTCACATTCTCGGGAACATGATCCGGTACACGAAGCTTCCGCGGCGTTCGATCAAAGCACCAAAACGGCAACTCGCCCCTCTCCACTTTTCCGGCTCCGGCCCCGGCAGCGCTATCCGGGAGTGCAACGGCCCACTTCAGCTCCTCGCCATCCGGCCTGATGCGCCCGCCGGGCACGGGGTCCTCGTACACAGCCAGCGACTGCGCGGCGTGCACCCGTTTCTGGATCTCGGCGAAGCCGGACTCGTCCTTGAGGGAGTAGGCCCAGTCGATGATGGTGCCGTCCGGTTTCGGGCCCCACTTATGCTTGAGGCGGTCTTCCCTGCTGATGCCCGCGACGAAAGAGATGATTTCCAGGTAGGTGCCGTCTGCGAAGATGACGAGCTTGTTCTCTGTGAGGCCGTCGGCGTGGCGGCCGCCTGTGAGGATGGTGAATTCGGATGAGAGCCAATTGGGGAGGGAGGCGAGGACGTGGTGGGGGACCAGGATCACGATGTGATCGAGGAGAGGCGGGTTTGAGCTCTGAGAAGACATGTTGACGAGATATTGAGTGAATATCAAATGAATTATATAGCGGCGTTGCCGTTGATGTAGACGATTTCAAGACGTGTTGTCTTTGCGATATGTATCCTGCAGGGACATCATCCGGTATTTATCGTTCTATTCCCCGCGCGGCCCCACAATGTCACCATTGCTGATAGTCATTGCGAAGAGACGCGGATGTATGAGGTCCGCTATCGGTCGACAACTTTCATGAGTCTCTCGCCAAGTCTCTCGCAAATACCTCAAATACCTCAGAATTCTATCTTGACATTTTCCGATGTATGGCGGAACCTCGACGAAACCTCCGACACGTGGCCGGCAGGCGTTCCCGTGCCCACTTCATCAAGTTAGCTGACGGTGTCTTATGTAATCAAGCTGGTCTCGTGGGAAAGAATGGTGCTAATTCAGAGGGAGGGACTTCTCCTCTCTGTCACGCATGGCTTAAGCACACGGAGCACTTCTTCTTCTCTTCGAAACTGTCTAATTGCAGAGTCCACTGCCAACTTCAGACCACTGTTTTCTCGTTGCCTCCTAGGCAGTGCATACGCACTCGAGTCCTCGTCAGTGAGACTTACGTGGATTACCCTGTCAAACTTCAAGGGCTTCTGGAACTCGCGGCAGGTCTACCAGAAGCAATTCCTTTCTGATCCCAGCGAAAGGACATCCAACAGGGGGCCAAATTCTCATCACTACTCCCAAAGGACTCTGACCATTCAGATTATTGGTCTCATTGCTGGTCGTCTTAGGAAACAAACATCCTACGCTCTCTGCCAGTGCTTGCGCGCTAAAGTTTGGAGGCTCGGTCGAAGGATCCTAGGGCCGTCCCTGGATGTCCACCAAAAAAACGCTGGACCCGAGAGATGGCGCTTGAGCCTGGCCTTGGACGTTTATCCTTCTGCCAGACGCGAAACTGACAAGCAGACGTATCCATGACAGGATGAAGGGTGGTTGTCGGTGCAGTTCGAGTGGTACAACAACTGCTGCTGTACGGCAATGTCTCGGACGCAGGATCAATCAGACAAACAACACCCCGAGTCAAACACCTGAATCATCGCCCGAGTGGGTCTTTGTTGCATTTCTGCATAGAGCTCTGCGTGATCAAAAGAACTGGCCTCTTGTGTGTACGGCCGGCGATTGTTTGCTCTATGCGTAGATCTTCTCGCGAGAGTTATCAATTACCAGTGGCCAGCGCCGATTTCAACTGTGCGAATCCAGTCACTCGCTAATGCCAAAGTTTTACGACACTCTCTTCTGAATCAGTCGCTACGACAGGCTGGAGATGGCATAGCTTCTCGAACTTGGACCGACTCTGCGCTGACGACTAACAAATGCAGAAGGGCGCCTAGTTGCCGGCTTGTTGCCCGAGCACTTCCTACGCTCAAAGCATACTTACCTTGCTCAACGGCGGGCCGTTAGTGGTCCCGTACTACAGCTCACCCACTAGCAGCCGCAAGATCTGGACCTCGGCCGAGCACCGTGATGCTCGCACAAGACCTGCATTTAGTCTGACTATCTCATACTGCGAAGCTTGTGGCGTGTCTCGAGGCTCGCGCCGTCTGTGACTACAGGCTCGACACTGATGGCAATCTTCCTCAGCCAAGCCCGCATTCAATCGAAAACCGACACAATGGAACGCCGACCCTCCGCCTCCCGGTCAGCCCGAGAACCCCTTCCCATTCGCTCCCGAGGCCGTGCGTCCCATCCCACCCTTCCCATCCTCCCCCTCCTCCCATTGAGGCTCACAACCCAACTTGGACTTTGGAGGACAGTACGGAGTAGAATAGTAGTAACGAATCAGATTTATCCCCCGCCCTATCCCCGAATCGCTTGATTTTCACTCATAATGGGCTGCGTTCTGATAGTACCCACCCCGACGATCGCGTGTCTGGGGTCTTGGTGGTAACGGGAGGCGGATCACCCTAGGGAGCCTCTTGGTGTCCGCACATGAAACTCCCACCGTCTGATGCAGACCCTCGTCCGACCAGGCTTCGTGGCGCTCGCCGCATGAATCTCGTCGCACAGAAACGACCATCGGATGGCAGGCTGGGGGGCATTTACTCTCAGCTAACTTGCTGTTCGCAGGTTCACTGCCCCCTCCAGGGCCTCCAGTGCCTCTCCAGCTGGGCCGTTTGTGGATGATGGGGAAGGGGGGATAGCAAAAGGAAGTCCACATCTCACCTCTCGGTCCCGCCCTCCCGTTCGCTGGTGTCATGTCATATAGCCCATGGGTTGACTACTATTCTTGGACGCTCCCTTTTTCCCAACGTAGCATTGTCGATGGCCTGCCAGTAGTAGATATGTCATGCGGCTCCCCGCTGCCTTATGTACAGACGGTTCTTGATCCTTCTTCCCAGGCCTTCTTGCAACCAAAGCCCCCCCTTTCGTGTTTGCTTCGTGCTGCCCTTCGCTTCTTGGACCGCAGGTTTTTCTTCGATTCTTCGGATTGAGTCCTTTCTTTTTTTGACATTATCAAATCATTTCCACTTTCGCTTCTTTTTCATTCGCTTAGGTATCGAATATGTTGTCAAAGACACTTACACTTTTGGGGTTGACGGCGGCAGCATGCGCTAGGGTGCAGTTCTTGGCAAGTCTCATATGATCTACATCAAGACTTCGGACCAATGTGTCTAACCTTTCTTGCCCAACAGGGAGTTGCGATATCAGGTGCCGACTTTGGCTGTGAGATTGATGTAGGCCTCTCCCTCAATACTTCATCTCATCCAACAATTCGAGACTAACTCGAAGCCAGGGAAGCTGTCCAACGGGAAAAGTCCAGCTGCCTCTCAGCTCACTGGGAGGCGGCGACGGCGAAGGCCAGATGAATCACTTTGTCCAGAACGACAAGCTCAACATGTTTCGACTTCGTCAGTCTACTCACAGCCTCTCTAACCATTGAGAGTCTAATACTGACACCCAATACAACAGCCGTCGGATGGCAGTTCCTCGTCAACAACCAACTAGGCGGCCAACTCAACGCCGCCAACCTTGGCAAATACGACCAGATAATGCAAAAGTGCCTCGCGACCGGCGCGCACTGCATGCTCGACATACACAACTTTGCCCGCTGGAACGGCGGCATCATCGGCCAAGGCGGGCCGACAGACGACCAATTCGTGTCTCTCTGGACCCAGCTCGCGACAAAGTACAAGGACAACGCCAACGTCGTTTTTGAGATCATGAACGAGCCGCACGACCTCGACGTCAAGCTCTGGGCGGCGACGTGCCAGAAAGTAGTCACCGCCATCAGGGGCGCCGGCGCGACGTCGCAGATGATCTTGCTGCCGGGGACCAACTTCAACTCGGCCGAGTTCCTTGTCAGCAGCGGGAGCGCGGAGGCGTTGGCCGCGATTACGAACCCCGATGGAACGACGGATAATCTGATTATTGATGTGCACAAGTATCTTGATCAGGATAACAGCGGAACGCATAGGCCCTGCACGACGGACAATGTCGAGAGTTTCAGGACGGTGGCTGAGTTCCTGAGGGCCAAGGGACGAAAGGGGCTGGTTAGCGAAACGGGCGCCTCGAGCGATGCTTCGGTACGTCGATCGATTTCCTTGTTCTGTCATGCGTGATGTGACTAACGGGTGGATGTAGTGCTTCACAACCTTCTGCGCCCAAAACACCTTCATCAATCAAAATTCCGATGTCTTCATCGGTCTCGTGGGCTGGGCAGCCGGCAGCTTCAGCACGGACTACGTCCTCAGCCTGACGCCCAAGAAGTCTGGCAACACCTATACCGACAACAACCTCATGAAGCAGTGCGTCCTTGACACCTGGGCCAACACGGAGCAGAACGTCTCGACGCCCGTTGCGCCACCAGTGGCTCCATCATCGCCATCGGCGGCTCCATCATCATCAGCGGGCGGAGCAGCATCACAACCCGCCGCGTCCTTGGTGCCGACGAAGCTTCCCGCTACTACCTCGCCAGCGTCGGCGGCTATTTCTACAGCTCCAAGCTCAGCTCCGAGCTCAGCTCCAACACCGGGACCGCGACCTAGCAGCAGTAGCGGCGATGAAGAGGGCATCGCGCCCCCGACGACGATTGTGAGCATGCCGACCACGCTGCTGGTCGACCCTTCTACGCCGACACCACCGGCGGCAACGGGAGCTCGGAGCGGTAGGAATGGGACGACTACGACGACGAGCTCGTCTCCTCTTCCGACGGCGGCGGGGTCGAGGCTAGGAGGGCTTGATAGTCTGCTGGGACTCGGTTTGGCAGTCGCCTTCTTCCTGTAGAATCAAGCCATTGGTATCGCGGAGACTAGCAGATAGAAAAGAAATGAATGTCAATCATCTGACTGCCATCAAGGGCTAAAAAAAGGAGTGACTCGAGGGGGACTCGAACCGCTTGAAATGGCATACTATCCCGATGGGCCTCAGTCGACAGTCACCTTCTTTCTACAGAATCTGAGCCATCAGCACCACTGTCACAAGTAAAATAACAAAAGGATATTCAAACGTATCATCGTAGGATACCAGTGAGCAAAAGCAAAAGTGAAAAAAATAAAGACTCAAACTGGCAAAATGGCAGAATATGGTGCCTCCGCGAGACGCTGGGCGCGGAGGTCTTAAATAAATTTCAGTTTGCGATCTGTAGACGAGAGTCACACGCTAGACCAATCGGCCAACGTGGAGGGTCTCGCCTATCCCGACAGACAGACCAACTTTGCTCAGCTATAGGGGATGTGAAGTGTGCGTATTCCTTGAGCAACCGTGATGGCTTCTGGCATGCTTTGGAGCCTGAGGTACCTTGCTATCCTACGCATCAGGGTATTTGATATTTCTCCTTTCACGTCCTCCCTTCTCTATTCGTCTTCAAAACCCAGCCACCATGCTGCATACTACCATCTAGCTGTGATTACCACCCGCCTTCCAAGATGGAGCTCCCGTCATGGTTTTCTCTCCTCCATGGCTAAGAATAGTACTTCTTAAATGAGGATCACCACCAACCCCCTCAAAACCCCAAAGCTCTGAGGTTCTAATGTCGAACTAGGAGTCTTGCTGATTATCTGGACTGTGAGCCTCGTCTTGCCCTTCGCCGGCGTAAATGGCAGATGTCCATAGTTGTAGAGGCGAGCTATCACAAAGGCCGCGGTGTTTGTTTACTTTCATTACATTGTGCTCCTCCTTCGCGTCCGTAACTACGCCTCAGGTAAAGACGGTATCTTAAGGGGAAGCGAGAACCACGTGATCGAATTCGGTTATACTCCACGACAAAGTCGGAAGTCACCACGGAGGAAGCGGGTATGCATCCCTCCTTCCCAAGTTCTCGCTCCACGGTGACGCACCTGCCTCACCAAGATCAGACCTTCCTTCCCCAAAATCCACCACCTGAATACAACCCGAAGACGTGGAGAATCGAAGCGCTCATATAGCCCTCCAAGTCAGTCCCCGTCACCAGCACAGCAGGCGCCCTCTAGGTCGGGGGTCGGGTCAAACTGTGGCGTGGGTGGTGGAGTGGTCCAAGGGGGATGGTGAACTCTTTTGCCTTTTTGGATCCATCGATGTTTTTAGTATATGGCTATTAAGATGAGTTTGAACAGCAGAAGGTGGAACGGAAGGTACAGAATTGTAACAGGACACGTGTGTCCAAGTCTATTATTATGAGTGGTGTTGTTTGTTTTCTATTCATCCGCATCCTGCCTAAAGGCATCATGCTCCACATAGCGGCTGATAGCAGGCAAGAAAGCCTGCGCCTGGCGGAACTCGCCCAACTTCACCCTCATCTGATCCCACGCCATCAACACCGCCTGATCAGCACCGTCATCCGTCTTGCGATCCTCGACGAGCGGCAGCTTAGCATACCGCTGCGAAAAGTGTGTAAGCAGCACGCGGCGCGCGCCCATGTTGCTCGCCACCTTCAAAGCCTCGCCCAGCGTGCTGTGCTTCTTGGCCACCGCGTCGCCCATCTTATCATTGTCAAAGGTGCTCTCGTGAATCAGCAGCGTCGCGCCCTTGCCGGCCTCGACGAGCCTCTCGCTGGGGCGGCAGTCGCCCGAGTAGGCGATCTTGAGACCCGACGGCCAGGTCAGCACGCCTGCGTAGGCGTCCTTGCAGTGGTTTACGGGAACCAGCTGGGCGGAGGCGAGGCGCGTCGGGCAGTCGGCGGGGAGGAGCCCCTCGTCGTGGGGGAAGAAGTGGCCCTTTCTGATGAGCTTGACGCGTCCGAAAGCGATGGGCTCGATGCGGCTGTACTCCATCAGGAAGTACTGCATGGCGGCGGGGCCGATGAGGCCGAGTTGAGGCTGGGGAGAGAGGTGGATGGTGGCTTCGTTCCAGGCGCGGAGGAAGCGTGCAGTTCCGAGATGGTGGTCGGCGTGCATGTGGCTGATGAAGATGCAGCGTGTCTCTTGAAGAATCTTGTTTGTTTCTTCGGCTCCGAACGTTCGTTGGAGCTGGCCCAGGGTGTTCTCACCGCAGTCGAAGAGGTAGTTGCCGTACTGGGGTACCCGGACTAGGGTTGCCGAGACATTGCGGTACTTTGATGGCACGGCAGATCCGGTGCCGAGAGGGATGATCTCCGTGTCGCGATTCGGGATGTCCTTCTCCGCTTCCTCAATATCCCTGAGGAAGGCAGGCTCCTTGATCTTGTCTGCGGCTTCCTTGGCGAGTTTGATGACTCCCTCTTCCATTCCGTTGCCCTTAAACTTGTTATAGATTGGGGGAACAATCTCATCCTTGACGAGCTCATAGGCAGGCGACAGCTTCGCCTTCATGCCCACACGCGCAGTCTCCACGTTGGGGCCAATGTGCGAAAGGTCCCGGACAGTGTTGTTGAAGGCAAGCTGCGGGAAGCGGTCAGGGTCGATCTGCCTCAGGTAGCCGTGGAGGATGGCATAGGAATCCAGCGCCAGCATGTTGGGACTGGTATCGGTAGACATGACGAGATGCTGGACATCCGGGCGTTCCTTCATGAACTGTTGAATTCTCGGGTCGTCGATGACGGTCGGCCCAAGGATCCAGTTGAAGACGTGTACGCCATCCATCAAGTTTGCATTTTGCCACTCTGGTCTGCCAAGGAACGAGTCAATGTAGGATGCGTCTGCGATATCAATGACTGTGAAACCCTGAGGCTTGATCGGCGCCTCGAGAACCATCTCGGGCGTGACAGTAATACCATCCTTGCCCTGGACGGACACTCCGTCGGTGAGTTTCTTGTTGTCAGTGGGCTTAACACCCAACTCCTTCGCGGCAGCCGCATTGAACTTGCCTCTTCGGCCCTTGTTCTTTACGATATAGGTGACGGCAGTGTTTGAGATGGAGGCGCTGGGCAACTTCTCAACCGTGGCCGCCGGCCAGGGGTACCGCACCAGAACGTCAAGGTCAGGCACGGGCTCGTCGCCGCCCGGCATGGGGCCTTGGTACTTCTTGATGTTGCCGTCTTCTCTGACAAAGATCGTGGCGGGAAGCTGGACCTGCGAAAGTTTCGTCTCGTACAGCTTGTCCATGGTCCAGCTGGAATTGAACATGCTCTCGACAACACCCTTGATCGCTTCCCGGTCAATGACGGCCTGCTCCTTGGCGGAAACAGCGCCGGCTGGGTTCGACAAACCTTCATCTTCCGCCGTCATGACCTCGTGGCTCCTCTTACGGGACTGGTTGACATGATCGGAGGCGATGGGGACCTTCCACACCTGAATGAGCTCATCCTGCCAGTCAGGAGTGTTGGCGTCGGGGTTGGCGATTCTCGGATCCTCGTACAGTTCGACGGCGCGAATCGGAAGTCCCTTTCTGAACACAAATCCTCTTGCTGTTGCAACAGAGTATGCGAGGTTCTGGGCACCGTGAATCTCGATCCGCTCGGGACCCTTGGCCGCGATCAACTTCTTTCCGGTGCCCTTCCTCGCCTGATTCCTCTCGTGCACCTCTCTCCTGCTACCGTCGAGAACGTCCGCGACTGTAAGCATCATGCCAATCATGCCGCCAGTGTTCTGCTGGATGGTCGCGCCCGAAATGAACATGACCTCCAGCTTGCCCAAGCTCACTTTACGTTGGCTCAGCGCTCGTTGTGTTCCTTCCGCAATGTTGCCGAAGAGGTAGCGGCGCTGATCAAAGTGCAGCATCAGGGCCGGGCCCGTATCCGCCGTCGGCGTCGCTGCGATCTGGAAGTAGTTCGTCATGGCGGCGCGGATGTCCTTCTTCTCTCCAGCTGGCGGTAACTTTGTATACTGTGTCTGTTCCGTCTCTGGCCCCTGAATCAAGTCGGCACAGTAGATCCAAGAATCTGGGATTTTCGCCGAGACCTTGTTCCAATTGGCCGGTAGGCAGAAAACCCTCTTGTTGGGGAACGATTCTGGGTCACCACGGACAACGTCTCTCCTAGCGATACCACCGGGGTGCTTGTGCCCTACGATTGAGGCCAAGAAATCTGCTGTGGGCAGGGGGCGTGTACCGCGTTTGTTGGTGTTCAGAGCGTACTTCTGCTGGAAGGGCTCGCGACGCTCTTTATTCCTGCCAAAAGGCTCGTCGTTCCTACGATAGGGCCGGTCTCTGCGAAAAGGCTTCTCGTCGCGACGAAAGGGTTCGTCTCTGTCGTCCCTGCGAAAAGGCTCGTCTCGGTGGTAGCGTTCCTTATTCCTGCTAAAGGGCTCTTCGTATCGGCGGAATGGCTTCTCGTCTCTGCGAAAGGGCTCGTCTCTGCGGGAGGGTTCTGCGTCTCTGCCAAAGGGCTCGGCGTCTCGTCGAGAAAAGGTGGCGGACGGTGTCCTGGTAGATTTCGGGGTGGCGAGCGGGACGTCCTTATTGTAGGTTCGACGCTTGGCTCCGTTTTCTCTGTTGATGAACCCAGTCTTTGCCTGCCGAGTATCGACGATATTCAGCTTGAACTTGGAATCAAACTTGCTGTCGACCCTGTTCTCGAACTTTGACTCAAAGGCGTCAGCCAAGGAATCTCCAGGCTTTGGTTTCCTGTTATTGGATCGGCTGTGGTAGGATACTCGAGAGGAGACAGCTAGGAGGAACGGAGATGGCAGAGCTCTGGCTGAACCTTTCCGGGGGAGCAGCGAGGTGTATGGGAAACGATTATTCAATGTTTGCGCCACATGCCTTTGGGTATACGGGCGGTACATGAAGTTGAAGGAGTGTGGGGAGCGCAGAAAAGGCTCACAAAAAAAGGGCAAAAAACGGGCGAAGACCAAAAAAAATTAACCGGTGGATATCAACACATTGGAGAAGGGGCAGCGTGCAGCTACGGAGAAAAAAAAAGATCGACTTGACTGGCTGGAATTTTGGTGACTGTTGCGGCGACGTGGGACGGGACGGGGAGTGACTGCAGTCGGCCAGAAAACTTTCCCACAGAAAGGACCCTTTGCCGATAAGAGCTTATCGAGTGCACGTGATTTCTGTCAGATCTGGCTCAGATCTTTGAGGTGATTACATAATGCAATGGGCCATGAACAGGGACATCGTGAATCTCATTCCAGTTTGCCCATCTTGTAGGTATTCTAAGCCCATGACAGTTGATTCCATCAATAGTTTCAACGTCATGGGATGGCGGCAGCCAATCTCTGTCCGCATCGCTCGCTAGAAAGTCAACCTTGCGAAAGTAGCTGTTTTTCGCCAAATGATTCCTTGAACGCCAAGTTCCCTTCCCCTGACCTTGACCAGCAATTTTGATGAACCCAAGTCTTCCATTTAACCACTTTTCAATCTCCCCTCACAGGTCTCGAGGATGAGTATTTTTGATACTGTCGATTCCTTCCGAGAACAACCGCCACAATCACCTCCGCAGAATTATACCGAAACCCAGCCTCCGTACGGTCATCTCTCACCCTTGGCGATAATGGTGCCGCCTGAATCGTCGTCGTAGACATGGTAACAACCTGCGCCGCCGCCCGGGGCAGTCATAACGCTTGTGTAGCTTGCCATCCAAGACCTGAAGCAGCACCGCCGCTACGCTTCGAATTCGCGGCCGTGTGGGTCGTCGTTCGGCTGCTGGCGGGGCCGAGTGGTTGCTGCATGTACCCCAGCTCGGCCTGCTCTGCCGCGGTAGTGGAGACGGTGGTGCTGCTCCGTTGCGGGAACTGGCTTCGGACTGTAGCGGCGCCGGGGAGGGTTGCGACGCCTCCGAGGAGGAGGAGGGCTGATGATGAGGAGCGGATTGCGCTCATGATGTGATGATTTGAGTTTTTTGCGGTTGCCTGTTGTTTTCAAGGTGTATTTGTTCTCTCTCTTCCCTTGAGGGATGGTTCTCTCGAGTTCAGAAGGGGTTTCTTTTCTTAGCTTTTTGGCTATGGAGGTTGAACGAGGGCGTCCTGTCGGCATATACCTTATATATCTTTCGTTTTGACCAAGGTACATACATCTGCACGCACGCTCGGATTGTTGAGGTTGCACATACCTGCTCCCCACGCAAATCAGAGTAGACGTGGGAGAGTAGCGTTCCATTCCTGCAAAGGCGTGGCCAAACACCCGGAGGCATTCCATCGACCGCCGCGGTGCGTCCTTGCATGCGAAACAGAGCCAATGCCCGCTGCGGAGGAGGGCCGCCATGCCACGCGCCCAATTGACGGGAATGGCGGGGGAGGCAGTAATCAAGTACATACAAGGGACCTCATGGAAGAGCACGGTGAGTACCTAGAGATGGGGTTGGAAATACCTGAGCACTCGAGTGTGCTGAGGCGGCTTTCCGTCCCCCCACGGAGCTTCTCCTGTTGGTTGATGATCCATACCAAAGGTTGGTAACCATTGCCTTCTGGAGAGGAATTTCTTGTCTCCAATCCCCTCGTCTCTGCGTTCCTCTGCCCCTCAACGCGAATCTCAATGGAAACTTATGCACTCGACTGCATATGGGCTTTCACCAAACCCATTGAATCCATGTCTCAAGGAGAAATGTCTCGCATCCCATCGCTTGGCATCTCCCGTGCTACCGCCCCCGCGCTCAGCCGTTGAGACACTTCCATCTCAGAGCAGATGCGCACGCGCGCTACAACCAGCCCTCAACAACATAACAAGCCAGCATATAAGCCTGTGCGCTCCAGAGATAAGAAGGAGAGACAAACACACAGCCAAAGAGCCTTGATCCAAACTCAGAATCAGGTGCTTTGAAATTCTTCAAGGTCAGAGTGGATGATTTGCCAATCGATCAAAAACAGAAGAGACAGTGGTGTTTTCGCATTCTCTGGCCTCGAGACATCGCATCATGTCTGGCTCACCTTCGCAGTCAATACCTGTATATACAAATGTTCAGCTAGGTACTCACGTCTCCTCTTTCTAGAAAGTATGTGTTCCATTGGAAAGGTTTATCATGAAAAAGGAAGTATCTGCACCTCAGTGTGCCTGACAGCTGACAAAGAAGCTTATCTTGATAACTCTATCTTATCAGCCAGGCACCTGGACCTCCTCCACACGCTCCAAGGCAAGTCTTTCTTCTCTCTCCACATGCAAGCATCCATCACCCATCACCCAAGACCCTTCCGAGTTCCGATTTCCATCCCCCGACTCTCTTCCGGCCCGGCGGACGGAACGATAGCTAATTACCAATAGCCAATTTGTCAATCGCCATGTGGAAAAAGGATCGGAACCTGCCAAGGGACCTACTAGGTGTAGATATATTTCCAAATACCGTCGTGTCGACCAGTCAAAATTCATCACCGGGTAATGCATCAAGCGACCCCAACCACCAAGTCAATTGCATCATTAGCGACAAGGACCGCCCTCCGATCCCTGCACGTTACCCCTCCAAATGCCCCTCGTTGGCGACTAACTCGACATGGTGAACTTTTGGTGTGAACCTCCACGTCACCCCACTACCGTTCCCTCCAGGCTCCCCCTCGGCATCTACTCCACCATCCGAGAAGGGGGGTCCGGCTCAGGGTATCTATGTATCGGGTGCCTTACGGCAAGGTCAGGTAAGCTAGCAAAGCAAGCATCCGTAAGCAACACGCCGCAAGTTTGAGCGAGTAAAGTAGACCAGAAAGAAAGGGGAGACCAAACCCAAAGCTTCCACATCCCATATCATTATCCCCCCCGTCAAGAAAGTGAAAGTGGATTCCCGCATCCCGCAATCGCAGTTCTGGCTTGCCCCATCCCCCCTTCCTCCACTCCCGTTCCGTAATCCCGACAATATAAAGACCGGCGCAAAACCGCAACCTTCACATCCCGCAATGTCATCGCGCACCGCACTCCGTACCCTCACCAGACCAACCATCACCACCAACCTCATCCGCCCTCCCTATCCTCAAACAGCAGCAACACCGCGAACCCTCACAATGACATCCCAAAACAACTCCAAATTCTCCGGCGGCACCCAAGCAACCCACAACCCCCACCCAGACTTCAAATCCGTAGAATCCACCCGCCCGCCCTTCAACACCGAAGCCTCCATCACCTTCACAAAAACAATCTCCCCCGACTGGTCCTTCGGCTCCGGCGCGAACCCCCTAGGCCAACCCGGCCTCTCAACACCACACGTAGCAATCGACCCCCACGCCGAGGGTCGCCCAGCAGGCTTCAACTACAAACTCCTCATCTCCGCCATCACCCCGCGCCCCATCGCCTTCCTCTCCACCCGCTCCGCAGACGGCACCGTGACGAACCTCGCGCCGTTCAGCTACTTCAACATGGTGAACCACGACCCGCCAATGTTCGTCGTGGGCTTCGCCGCGTCCATCGAGAAACCTAAAGATTCGCTTAAGTGCCTGCTCGAGAGTAAAGAGTGCGTCATCAACATCATCTCCGAGGGCTTCCTCGAGGCCGCCAACTCGACGTCCGTCAACGCGCCGTACGGGAAATCGGAGTGGGATGTGAGTGGCTTGACGCCCGTACACGACTGCAAGCATTTGCAAGCCGCGCGCGTAAAGGAGGCCGTCTTCAGCGTCGAGGGGAAGCTTGACTTCGTGAAAGAGTGGGATTCGCGCGCTACCCCGGGCAAGAAGAGCGGTGTTACTGCGTTTATCGAGGGTGTCAACTTTTGGGTGAGGGAGGATGCCATCAACGAGCAGAAGAACATTGTCGATCCTACTGTAAGTCTTTGTCCATCTTAAACTGTGAATTCCCGAGCTCTTTTGGGTGGGTTTTGTGGAAAACTGGAATCTGACTTGATATCCTTTAGGTACTGCGCCCTGTCAGCAGGTTAGGAGGCATCACTTACGGCCGCACCATCGACGTCTTGGAGATCCCGAGAGCGGACTGGGATAGCAACATTGGTGGTGAGGAAGGCTACGAGAAGCTCAAGAAGAGTAAGCAGTAGAGACTCAACGAAATGTCATTCGAGAACCAAGACGCACAATTGTGTATCCAGGTAAATGTGGTGTTAGAGAAAACCAACAACAATACGATGCGCATACGCCCCCGAGATATAATATATAGAAATTAGGTGGCATTCAAGCAAGACGCGGCAGCCCATCATCATCACGGCTGCCGATGGATATATAGAATGCGACAAATGGTGCGCGTAAATACATGGTATATATATCCCCTTGCCTCCTCCTATTTCCCCATGAAAACTCCAAGATAAACCCCCAATCGCACTCATCCTCATCATGAGAACTTCATGCATATCGTATCTTCGTGGAATCGACATCTACAACATACTGCGCCCAAACGCCACCCAAAGCATTTCAAAGGTAGAGACTTTGCCCCGCGTGGGAGACAATGAACTCGCAGCCCAGCTGGGCGTCGGCTTCGTAGGCCTCGAGTTCTTGCAGAATGAGTTTTCCTTGGTCCCTTCCATCTGGGCGGTCTTTGACGTGGATAATGACAACTTTGATACCCTTGAGAGGTGGGCCCTTGGAGTGCCCATCCTCCGTCTCGCTCCATCCTTCAGCCTCGCGCAAAGACAATTCCTGTGTAGGAGTCGTCAGATGTGGGCTCTCTACCGATGTTGCAGCGGGCGGCAGTGGCGGTACGTGGCCGATGTCTGCAGACACAGCACGCTTGGCCACTGATTTGGGGCTGATTGGGGACTCATCGCCGCCTGCAAGGCGCGAAAAGGCGCCTCCTGTCCTTCTTCGTGGTATCGTGTCGGGTTCTGCTACGCGCTTCCGCTTCCGCGAGGCATGGGCATCTCCTCGCGCCTCCTCAACAGTTTGAGCCAATGCGTGCATCTCTTCCATCACATAGCGGGGTTTTAGATGACCAAATAAGCGATCGTCAGAGTGCGAGTCGTCATATGAACATTCGATGAAAATGGCAGCAAGTTGGCCAGCTACAATCTTTGGAGCAGCTTCTTCCCAAATAGTCAAGTTACGAGGGGAGAGTGACATAGAATCCGGCTCGACGTCTCCAAAGATGAGTATCTCTAGGTTAGTAGCCATATCGAGGATGAAATAAGCCGAGGAGTCGTAAACGCAAACACTGGCCTGCGGCTCCGGCGCAACTGATGGCGCTCGAGGGATAGGCGCGGTGCTCGAGGCCAGGCCGTATGGCAGTATGCGCGGTGACGCCATGGATGCGGCATCGACAGAAGGATATCGTAGAGGTGTTGCAGTAGAGGAGGCCGAGCCGCGATGTGGATGTCGCTCAATGCAGTGACCGTGTGAAACAGAATACGCCTTGATAGCGAGGCGATCCGCAACCTCTAGATATCCTTTAGACTCGCCATCGCCAATGGCTGGCGACCCTCCTTCGACTAGTCGAGTATACGTGACTAAGCCCGCACCGTTACTTTCATCGGACAAGTTGGGCCAGATCACATTGTTAAAGATGTGAGTTTTGAGAGCGTTAACCGTTGAGGGCAACGCGGCAAGGCGCTTGGGCCTGGTAAGACCTGCCGTGTTCACGACGAAGCCGGAGATGTGATCGAGATGAGGATGAGTAATCACATACGTGTCGATAAGAGTACGAGTGATGAATGAGGCGATGGACGATGGATACACTGCGCCTGTTGCGACCTCCAACTGACTGTTTGGTGTAAGCTGCAGGCCTGCAAATGGCCCGGAAGCAAGGGTGTGGGGGAGCGGAAGCTGGGTGCCGAGGCCTGGAGGTGCCGTTTCCTCAAGAATGCGAGTAATAGCCGAAAGATGAACACCGGCATTTACGGCGATGATGGAGCCTTTTGTCCACCCCGAGGCGACTGAGCGGACTAGAAGAGCGGTAGTATTTGATTCCTGGGGACCGCCGCCGGCACCCTAGAGATTTGGGTTAGCGGAAAGGTGGACGTGATGGGGCCACTCTTTGAGGGGATCCCGGCCAAGAAGCGATAGGTCACTCCCGTCGCATTGAAAGATGTGTCTTTCTTCAGTCGCTTGCGCAAAGTCTTGAAGAACTGCCGGCTCTCCCTCGCCCAAGGCTGCTGCACTTGCAAAGGTTTCAGGGGTTGAAGCGCTTGCAGCATGGATTTCCCATTCGGTGCGGTTGGCGCAACCCGAAAAAGTTGACTGCATGAACGACGAGAGGATATGCGCCGGGCGGCCGGGTCGGGATGATCTCGTGGGGGGACTTTCCCTCACTTCAGGAGAGACACACTCGAGACGTCGGGGCCCAACAAGCCTCGGGGATGTGAAAGAGAACACGCGCGATCTGCGACGTTGAAAGTCGGCAGTGAGGCGCATCAAAAGACGTGAGATGTGATAGTGGAACGTACCAAGACAATGACCTGTAAGGCCGGCCGACGGGAATTCTCCGACTTCTCCCCATTTGTGTCTTCCATGGTGGGCTAGCTGTTGATGCGAAGCGAAAGAAGAAGTCGCGAAGAGGATTGACAGAATTAGAATTCCTTCCAATGCCGAGAGCGCAGCCAATGCCGCCTCTACGAAGCCACCACCCCGCCTAGACGGGCTGCCAATGCCACGATGAGGTAATGGGGCCTGTGGTAGACAAGACGGAACGGCACGGCAGATGAGAATTGGCATGCGACGCAGCGACGGTCCTCGTTCTGGGTTGGTGGAAAAGATGCGATCAGTCGTAGTGTACAGAGACGCGCGCTCCGGTGGGATTTGATGGTTGGTTTGCAGGGGCTGACAGATCTGGAATCTGCAATGTGAGTGAGATCGTCGGTGAGCGCGGGGTGAGGGTGTCGTCGGTGAGTGGTTGGTTCGGCGTCTTTACAGACAAGGTAGGTCGGCAAAGAGAGGTAAGTAGGTACTCGGTAGGCTTGGCGGATTGGATGCTGATGTGCGTGGAGACGCAATGACGGGCGTAAGGTTGCCGGGAGACGAAGTATGTAAGAAGGTTGAAAGAAAGATTAAGGTAGACGATGGACGGGAGAAAGACACAGTTTTGCGATCTTGATGGAGGGAGGTCGGAACGAAACAGGGCTGGGGCTTTCGTCAGGTCTGATGTTTACGCCCACCACCCCCTTTGCGGTTTCTGGATCTTGTCTCTTTCAAAGATCCCTTTTTGACAGTCTTTTCCCCACAGTCAAGCCAGAGAGGGAAAGAGAAAAGGCGAAGCGGATGGATCTCGAGATGAGATGGACGGCTTCTCCGAAGGCCGACGTCGTGGCTACCGGGATAGGTGGGTTTGAGTGGTGACCCAGCCGGCGGTGCTTCTGTACGGTATTAATTAGAGAGTGGAGAGCTCCTGGGAGCTGGAGCTGGAGCTGGTGCAGCTGGTCGGGTCTTGTCTTTAGCGGGCGCGGTGCGGGCGTATGGAATCGGTGCGGATGGCAGCGGTCAAGCGTTGTTTAAGTCCGATAGCCAGGGTGATTTCTTGAATGGTTCTGTTGCTTTGGGATTGTTCAGGATCGAATAGATGGGAGACGGAGAGAGTCCAGACCAAGTTGCTTTGACGTGACGACAGAAGGGCAAGACAACGCGGGTGCGCGGTGCAGTTGAGTTGCAGCTGCGAATGCGATGCAATGTGCGAGAGAGTGAGCGTAAGCGACCTCGGTCGGGTGCAGCTGCTGTGCAGTACGCAGTACAGTAAGGTATTATGCGACGTGCAGTGACAATGAGGAACGTGGATGGGTCAGGGACTCAAGGGGAGTCAAGGGGAATGCTGTGTTGGGTGGTGGGATGGATGCCCAGGTGGAGGGATTCGGGGATGGATGGAGGAATGACTTTTGGAGGTGCCCTGCTAAGGTAAAAAAGCGTGTAGGAAGCGCAAAGTGGCCACCAAGTGTTTGCGACGGCGATTTCTTCTCTCCCACAGACAGAAGGAAGATTTGCGCTTGCTGAGTGTTGTCGGAATGCGCGGGAAATGATACCACAAACACCACTACGATAATGAGTATTTGCAAGTACCAATCCTGAGACGTGATGACAGAACACAGCAGCAGCAGCAGCAGCAGCTCTGACTTTTTACTTCTGCCTCCTGCTTCCTGCAAGTCAACCTGGTGAGCCGCTCCTGCTTACTGGCAAGGACCAGAACTCTGTTGCGGCAACAACTCTCGTGTGCCACTGCTCGCACCTGCAGCTTTAGGTCCGATAGGTCGGGTAAAGGTAGGTGCTCACTTGGCTCGTGCACTATGATCGTGCTGCTCTTGCTGCTTGTTGTCTGTTTTCTCTCCCTCAAGGTACCCAAACCCTCTCCCAGCATGGAATCAATAGTCAGAAAGAGGAAAGCACAATGACAGACCTCCTGGCTGTGACTTCCCGAAAGATGTCGGATCGAATGTCGGGCCAATGTCTGGCAAGGTGTCTGTAAATGGGCGGAGCCTTCCAGTTGTAAGTCTCCAACGCGTAATTGCCTAGAGGCAACAGGTTAAGGTGCCGTATCTTGTGAGGCAGGTAGGTTCGTTCCTTTGATGGTTTCCCCAGTCCGTGAGGTGCCTTCCAATCTTAACAACAGGTGCAACTCGTTGCGCAACGTGACAAGTACCTTCCTCGCAAACTCTCAACTCTGCGCAACGTGGTGTCGACGTGTCGTAGCCTTTTTTTGTTCTTTGGTGTCGTCGCATCAATTCTCGCTCGTTGTTCTTCCAAATTCAATCTTGCTCTTCGACTGCACATCTGCCTCTTTCTGTCTTGGAGCCTCTCGTCACCGCAAACTCAATTGCAGCCAATGTGCTCCCTAGGCTATTTTCGTGTCGACAACGCCCTCTTCGGCCAATACTGCCAAATCAAATCCTGTTTCGGCTTTCGTGCTTGTCGAATGTCGGCAAGGTCCCATCCAAGACGCTGTCGAAGATCACCCGATGCCCTCCCTTCGGGGCTAAGCTTCAGCCCAGTGTTCCAGTTCTGTGCCGTCTGATGTCCGATCGCCGACTGCTCGCGGGGATGAGCGGGCTTCGATGCCGCACCAAGACAATCCCAAGTTGCCCCTCGAAGCTCGATAATGGGATGAAGCGAATCAGGCACTCTGAACCCTCTTCCCGACGGCAACCACCGCCGTGCTTCCCGTAGCACGTATCTGGGATCCTAATGCGATGAATCGTGACTGGCTTTTGCCTTTTGTCGCAAACTGTCAAAGCCAAAGAACAAGAATGGAACGATGGAAGAAGAGGGGGAAACAAGGTAACAAGTCAGTCAAGATTTACTTTGGTCGTTGTCTGAGTCAAAACTACCGCATCGAATTCGTCGAGAACAACGCTCCAAGCCGACTGGCTTCCTATTTCGCAAGGATGGGCAGACTATTCTAATCAGCCATGACTGCCTCTCTATTTGTACTTTCACATGAGCTCAATACCATCACACTTTCCCATCCCCAACATTGACTGACATGTCTTACACATCACAGATAGACACCTCTTCGGCCGCCGAGCTCCCGCCCCCGCCAACGCGCACGCAGCCTTTTGCCCTCCTGTCCCTCCCAGCCCTGCCTTACATCCAGAGGAGCACGAGATCCATAAGCCATTCAATAGGAATCGATCCAGCGGCTCTGTCGAGACGATGCAACTCCATGCCATCTTACTTGCACGGCGCCCTCCTGCATCGTAGCATCTCCGTTCAGGACTAGCGCCCCTACTTCCTTCGGCCTCGCCGCGCTTTCGCACGCCAACGTTTCTTACCCGCGGGGCCGCGAGAGCTACGATTCATTCGCACCAACACCGCGGCCCGCTTTCACCTTTGCCGACCTGCCCTTTCTTCATCTGTCCTCCTCGAGTCTGTTCAGCTTCTGCCCGTCTATGGCTACCGGGATACTTTGTACGGACCACGGCGTTGCCAATTCGCTGCCCAAGTCTCCATCATTCACGCAGAGTGGCCTTCACACCATGTCACCGCTTCCGGTCATCCCCAGTTCATTCTGCGGCCCCTCCATCCCGCTTCTCTTAATCGAAACTCTGTTATGTTGAGGGCTCCGCAGCTAAAGTGCCCCAAGCCATGGCTCCTGAACCAAAACCTCATCCGGCTCTTTTGGCGCCCGCTTCCTACCACCTGTGAACAGCACTTGTCCGAACTTTCCCATCTTTCTGGGGTCGATTTGAGGCCCTTTAGCGCGGGCGCGTGCTCTCGGCCGCAGCCTGCCGCCCGACCGTTTGGAACCGTCGCATGGCGGCCGCGCCGGCCCCAGCTCCAGGACCCTTGGCAAGAGCCTGGATTGTGAGTCAGGATTCACGCTTGTCACTTGGGAAATGCACTCAAGTCTCGGGTTAGAGATCTGTTATTAATCATGTTGATACTAGGTTGGTCTGTATCGCTGATTCGTCAAGGCCTCAGACCAGGCCTTTTATCCTCTTCTCCTGCCCGCCTTCTTGGGTGCATCTATATCTAATATGGGGTATCAATCCTATGCTAACCGCAGTCGTGTGAACAAACCCCCTTGCTCCGGTCCAGAAAACAAACATCCCAATGTGGCCACAAATTACAAAGACTTTTTGGGGGGCGCATGGTTCTTCACCTCAGGGTAAGATAGACAAAGGCATCAATGATCAACGTCTTTCAACGGGTGAATAGCACGACTGTTTCACACGTTTGTTCCAAGTAGCGGCTGTCTGGGGCTGAGAGGCGGCGTTGTCATTTTCGTCATACTCGTATTCTTCGCGCTTTCTCTTCTCGATGATACTCGGACGGGCTGCCCTGGCAGCGGGGGTCTTTCGGCCACCTTCTTCGTCGTCGCTGTCAAGCTCCTCAACGATGGCGTGCCCCTTTTTGGATACCTTTTTCTCGTTGACTCTCTCCACGTACCAGTCGAGGTCGCCCTTGTGCTTGTCAATGGAAATGCCGTTTCTCTTCTTCCGCATGTTGCTCCGCACCGGAGTCTCCAGCGCCAGGTGCTTGGTCGTCAGCATGTACCATAGCTTGGCTTCTCGGCCGACCTGGCGGTTCTGAATGGGGAGACCCATCATCTTGTTCGTCTCTGCCGACCTTTGCCATTCTTCGTAAGCGGCCTGCTGGGACGTGCGCCACTCTTCAAACTCCATCACCAGCTCGTCGTGATCACGGGTCATGGCCATGGGATTGCGCTCTTCCTTTTCAAAGTAGCGGGTATCGGGCTTCAGGTCGAATGCTTGGGCAATCTCGAGGAGATCGAAGCAGCGATCCATACACCACAGGTGCATGTAGCCCGCGTTGTGGTACGGATCGTGCTGCTTCCCCGAGGTTTCGGGCCGCTCGTCGAAGCAGACGCGCCAGAAGCCCTTGAGGATGGTGCCCTTGTAGGCCGGACAGCCTGACCAGCGGCACGCGCGTAGTCTGTCGTCGCCCACGCGCGTCTTGCAGCCGTGAGGGACGTTTTGGATCCAGAGGGTGAGGGGTAGACCTCGCTGCTTCCGTTCCCTGATGTAGTACAGGATCTGCTCACGGGTGAAGCGCAGATTCGGCAGCAGCTCGCCCTCCTTGTTGTATTGGAACATGGGCTTTGTGAGGTCGTGGCCGCCCCAGGGCGCTGGTGCCTCAGGGAGGGAGTCATACCAGTCTGATGCGTCCACGTCCTTGGCCTTGGCGGGCTTGGGGATACGCTTGAGGATCTTTCCATTTACCACGGGGGTTGTGAGGTCTCTGGATGGAGTGTGAGCTGGTGTCAGGTATAATGGGGGATTGGGGGTGCCGGCTTCGAAGAGGCCCTGTCTGTTGAGGATACTGTAGGGTGTCACGTCTGTCGGTGCGGTTGACAGGCTGCGGCGGTGGATGAAGTCGGCAGGGAAAGGGGGTGATCTGGGCTTGGGATGCACCAGTTTCGCCGTGGCGACGGCGGCGGGGGTGGGAGTGGTAGCGGGCACACTGCGCGGAATGGACTGTGGAGTGGTCAGAGGGGTGAACAGCGGAAGGGAATAAAGGAAGTTTACCGATTCGTCGTCGTAGTTGAAAGAGACTTGACCGGCGGCCGGAACGTGTGCCAAATCAGGGACCAAGGGAGGGAACTCGGGCTTTGGGGTCAGATGGTGTTGAGATTGCGGCGGTGGAGGGGCGGTAAAGACGTCGGTAGTGGTCTTTGGTGAAGGATGAAAGAAAGCCGTCGAGGAGGCGGGCTCCCGTTTGACGTTGCTGAAGGCGAAGCCGTCAAAGTTGGGGGCTTCTTGCTTGACGTTGGCAGGGCTGAAGGATTCGAGGCCGCCATAGGTAATCGTTTCCCTCTTGGAGTCGTCGAAATCAAAGGTATCGAGGTCAAAGACCTCGCGGGCGTCTCCGAGTACAGAAGATGGGTGGTCACCGCACGGTCGTTGGTAGGCAAACATGTCGTGGGGAGGAGGGGAGGCAAAGAGATCTTCACCACCACCACCACCGCCACCGCCAAGCCCGGTAGCCGGGTTGCTGTTCACGTCCCATGCCGTGTCACCACTGGACTCGAGGCCGTCGAAACAGGGCCAGGGAACGCTCGGCGGGGGAGAGGGCCACGATGTGCCGACGCAGGGTGCTGCTCCTGGGGCCGGAGTCGGGGCCGCTGTGGGGAGTTGGAGGGCTTCGGCGATGGGGCCTTCGAATTCCTCGAAGAGGGACTGGAGCTTCGGGTCGTCGACGAACGGCGTAGGTTCTTGCTTGAAGTCTTGCTGGAAGTCCTGCTGGTATTCTGGCTTGAATTCATGTTTCAATTCTGTCGGCTCTATGCTCGGTAGCACGAGAGCTGTGGCGTCTGTGGTGGGAGGTGTTAGTTGGCGCTGCTCCTGCTTTAGTGGCGGTGGTGTTCCTGGCAGTGTGATGAATAGGACGTTGGGGTTGATCGTCGCGACCTGCGCGGGCTTGGCCTCTTCTTGCTCGTACTTGAGTAGGGAACCATCGTTGGAGTTGCCATTACCTCCAAAAAGCGAACCGTCCGAGATTTGGCTCTCGGAGAGCTGTGATATTAAGACCTCCTCGATGGCGGTCTCTGGGTTTTGTGCAGTCTTCTCCTCCTCAACTTCAGGGACCGGCCCTTCGACGCAAGCGTCGTTAAAGTTGAAAAAGGAGTCTGCGTCACCGTAGGAGTCGCTGCCGTAGTTGAAAAGAGTTCCCGGGAGCTGGTCTGGGCTGAACGTGTCCATTACCGGGGTGGACAGTATCATGGCCATTATGTCTCTGAAATAGTTGTTGTAGCTTTACGAATGGAAATCTGTGGTGCTGTTCGTCCCTTTCTGCTTGACTTTTGCTGCTGTCCTCTTCGAAGATGAAAATGAGAATCAAAGTTGTTCGTGTAGTTGAATGGTCTGTACTTGAACAACCAGTAGTCGAACTTGCCTGTAGTTAAAGGTGAGTATATACGACACAAGAGTGAAAACGAATCGAATGTCTAGATAGGTAGTCCGAGGTCGGGGAGAGTAAGGATGCTGTGGAGGGTGGGAGCACAACACGATATATAGGCATAAATGTGGTAGTCATCCCTTCCACAGTGGCAGAGCAGCCTCGAGGTCAATGAAGAAGGACGTGCATAAAGAGACTCGGTGATGGACAACGGGGACGCGAGGAGACGACATTGTTTGATGTGTTTGAAGATTGTCAAGCTGACAAAGGTTGATATTGCTATTATAGATACTTGATTGGTACGGACAAAGTGCGAAAAGAAGAAAAATTACTAAAACAAGACGCTGGCGGAAATAGACAAGAGGCTCAGCCCTGAGAGAACAAGAGATGGGCAACAAGAAATGGGCTCCTCTTGTTCTTCAACAATGGCCTTCTTGGACTCGAGCCGGGCCAATCCAGCTTGGTGCTATGCATAGATGTTCCTGTCTGAGTTTTCGTCAGCGACTGAAGCATGATCAAGATGTTGAAGAAATGATTTGGTAATGATTTGATATCAGGAGTAAGATGCTCGTTTCTCGACAGTAAATTCCGAACAGGTCTGTGAATAAATGCTTTTCTCATCATTTGATGGGCATGAGGGTGAAAATGAAGGAAATGTTTGACATACCACTTGACTAGGTCCGACGAATCATGAGACGCATCACCTCATGTTTGCCTGTCTGGGTTAGTTAGGCGCAGCGAGACTGGGAGCGTGCCGTCGATTCCTGATAGCCTAGACTCCCAAGCCTCGTGCGTCCCGTGTCGCATATCGAGGAGTCGACCCCACGGGATGCAGACCTCGAAAGGCCCGTCTTTCGTCGAGGAGTTTCGGCCGTAGCCGCGCCGGGGAATGAACCCGTGGTCGTGCGAGCTCCATGACCCTTTACGGCGGGCGGTAAACGATGATCAAAGGCGCCTTTCGCCTGACCATTCGTCATGCCATGCCGTACGGTAAAGGAAACGCCAGGGGATGAA